CTCTCTCTCTCTCTCTCTCTCTCTCTCTCTCTCTCCCCTCTCTCACTCTCTCTTTAAAAAAAAGAGAAGACCTTAGAAGATGGAAAGATACACCTTGCTTATGGATAGGCAGAATATTTCAGTTTACCACCTACTTCTTCCTTCACACAGACTTGCTGGTGCATTGGGACCTTTTCTCTCCTTCATAGTGACTATAGACTTGATGATTCAAAGTTACATATGTTGACCTTTCTTCTGCTTGTACTGATCCAGCATGAGGAATGCAGGTTATACAAGCAGAAGAAAACAGAGCAGAAGGTTGGATATTCCTAGATTTTTCCTCATTCAACTTGGAATCCTACCAGAGCCCCTCTTTCATAGGATTCACCCTCACTCTCAACTCTGACCCAAAGACCACGAGTAGCAATTGCATTCAAACAAATCGCCTGTTTTCTTATTTTTTTTACATGTCTCACTTTGTCACCTCAGAGATTGAAGAGCTTTCTGTTTTACTTTTTCAATCTGAAAGTAAAGTACCTTCTATTATATCTTTTTTCAACTAGTCTGATAGCAAAGCTCTATGCCTCAAATTCCAAGTTCCACATTAATACAAAAACAGCTTCAGCATTTAGAAATTCCTTTTTTTCTTTTGCTTGTTATGGTTCAGATGAGAAATGTGTCTCCCCCCCCCCCCAAATCTGTATCCATTGAAATCCTGGTCCTCAATTCAGCCTTGTTCAGAAATTAGGCTTTCAGTTGATGATCAGATAATAAGGATTCTGACTACATCAGTGGATTAATCCCCTGATGTCTAAATGTACCGCTGAAAGTTGGGACCTAGTGGAAGGAACTAAGTCACCAGGGCATGCAGCATGCCCAGAAAGGAGTATCTTCTCCCCAATCAATAGATGGGCACATGATCTAAATAGAAACCTCCCAATAGAAGTATAAATAGCCAATAAATATATTTCTAAAATACCTTTAGCCATCGGGGAAATGCAAATTTCACTGAGGTTCCACTTAACTTCAGTCAGATTATGTATTATTGAAAGAAAATATCAAAGCCTGGTGAGGATGTGGAGAATGACAAACTTTTGTACACTGTTTGTGGTGATGGAAATAGCACAAGCCACTATGGAAATAGTATGGTGGTCTCTCAACAAACTAAAAATAGAGCTACCAAATGATACAGTCATGTTGTTACAGGGTAACAAATTCTGCCTCATAAGGAATCCAGTAGCAGAATGTTATGAATCTAATGCAGATTCTTTAGATTCAAGCAAGCTAAACACTATCATGACTCATTGATATCCATGTAGAAAGAGAGTTTTGTCTTCTAAACCATTTGGAGTGCAACATGAAGATTAACCAGCATTCAAGTTTTGGAATTTATTAATTTTCTGCACTTGGTGTGATAAGTTTCACAAAAGAGATAATTACATTTTTTAATATCAGAAGAGAACACATTTCTAAAAGAGTTGTTATAAATTAATAAGCAGCTGATTTGACCTTAAGTATAAAGTACAAACAAGAGGACAGCTAATAAACAAAGATGAGTCTCAAGAACATTTTCTGGTAATAAAACACTGAAGGTTGCAACCTGTGAAAATGCACAACTTGCATTTTGCAAGAGAGTCCAATACAGTTCAGTAGTAAAGAACAAGTTATCCCATTGCTCTGCTATTCCTCTTAGCATGGTTTTGTATCACTTCATTAAATCTTCATAATGACCTAGAGAACTAAAGCAACACAATCCTTCTATTTTAGAGAGACTTCAGCCTAAAAGAAACAACTTGTTCAAGAACAAAGAGCTCTTCATTTTAGAGAGAGAATATGTTCTTAGTTCAAGCTAATTGTCACTATCTAAAACTAGTTAGTGTTCTGAACTGTATTGCCTTTGAATCATGATTCTATTATTTTACTTTTCTCTTCCTGAATTACCAGGTTATGCATTCAATGAAATGTGCCTGAATTCCAGCTAGTTTTATATAGTGACGATTAGCTAGAACTAAGAAGATAGTCTCTCTCTAAAACAAAGAGCTCTTTGTTCTTAAACAAGTTGTTTTTTTTAGGCTGAAGTCTCTCTAAATTGTGTGACAAACATATTTTCCTTCAATAAAGTTTTCACATCATACTTTTAGTAAGAAAGAATTAAAATATCAATGGTCTGATAGAAATAATGCTATCATTAATATCAAATATTTCCCCTTAAAACTTCTGTGTATTCCTGTGGTGCTTCCAAAAGTAGATCTTTTCTTGGCTTATTAGTAGATCTTAAGGCAGAAGTTCTAGTGGGTCAAGACACAAATTCTGTAGCAAGTGGAAAGAAAGAAAATTATATTCTTCATCTCAACATTTCATAGTTAACTAAGCAAGAATCAGTAAACAAAAAGTTAATAACTTATACATGTTAGTAAGAGTGAAAACCATGTGTGCAAAACTACAAGGTAACTTTGAAATAAAATTTGCCCAGAGTTGCACACTGAATTATCAATGTGGCTGAGGATCAGAACTTCAGGTTTTCCATTCTGCATTCAGGAATTCAACAGCCTTATGTTAAAGCATTTGGCAAGCTCTGAGTGAGAAGATGAAAATGATCATCTCCCAATCAGACCCCCTAAGTTGAAAAACACAGGACAGGATACTTCCTTAGAGTGGTGGGTGCTATGAGAGGTATAAAACAAGGGTACTATTGGAACACAGAACAGACTTCCAAAACAGACTTCTGTTCCCTGTTTTAGACCAATGGCATAAGTTTTGGGGTTGAGATGAGACCTGAAGGATAAAAAGGAAGTATGACACAGAGAGAGAAGAGGTGCCTGCAAAGAGTGAGAGGTGAGGAATACAAGTATCACAGTGTGACTTGAAGCTATAGCAGAGGGGCAGAGTAGGGTGTGTGCAAGAGATAAGCTGAAGGACCTGACGAGAATTCAATTGGTTTGGATATCTGAATTCCTTGCTAGGGAAGCTGGAACTTTTCTTGAGAGCAAAACCAATGACAAAGTCAATGTCAGGGTATTTGAAATGCTTGACCAAGTGTTCCTAGATGAGTCTGGGCTTTTGGTCCTTGACCAGATAGAATCGGGTGATGCCTTTGTTTTCATAGAGGTGGCAGAAGTGAAAAAAATGTAAATCTAGAAAAAGTTATGTACAGACAGTCTGAGCCTTTACAGGCCATAAACATGGGTAAATGATGAATGAGTGTATTCTTCATTGGGATTTTTTTTTTCAAAATTTTCATTTGATGTTTGTTTTCAAGAAAAACAATTTAATTCATGTAAAATCTATTCACCAATCCAAGGAAAGCTATGCCATCTGCTATGTTGTTTATTCTCAGAAATCAATTAATGAATCCAAATTCAACAGTAGTTTGGCAACACACCTGCTTTAGCTTTTCTTGATAAAACCCCTGACCAACTTCTCATTCATCTGAAATAAGGCAATTATTATTTACATTGCTTCGTTTAATCAGAGATTATCATGAAAATGATACATTTTCATGTAGCTTTTTCAATACAACTTGACAGAGAATATGTATGCACAATGCTGTTGAATTTCCCAATCCACAGTGGTCTATTAAATATAAGTCATTTCGGGTGGTGCTGCTTTAGATAATGGGCAACAATTCAACTCCTATTTTTAGATGACAATACAGTATGATTCTTAACAAAATGCTGCCCTTGAGAAACTTCTTACAAAGTTTTTCACTTTAATGCCATTTTTCTTAAAATAAGCTTTCAGTTCTCTACTTTCAGAAAATTAAACATTCAACATTTTCTCAATACTATCAATTTTTCAGCCCATTAAGTTAAATACATATGTAAAGAAAGAGGTACTCTCAAAGCCTCATGTGGAAATTCTACTGGCCAAAGTTTCAAAATATTGTTATGTGGAATATGACTAAACATCTCCTCATTAAGGTGGATACACAAAGATTCCAGAAAATCCTCTTGAGAAACAAAATAATGCCAGATGATATGGCACATGCCTGTACTTCCAAGTATTCCAGGAATCTAAAGCAGGAGGATGGCAAGTTTGAGGCCAGACCAGAAATTAATAAGAACTTGCCACAAAACAAAAATTATAAAGGAGTACAGATGTTGCTTAGGGGTAGAGCATCCCTGAGTTCAATCACTATAAACACACACACACACACACACACACACACACACACACACGCACACACACACAAACAGCACATGCAGTATAAATATTACTTAGAGCCAGTTTAAACTTATGTTTCTTTGATTTGTGACTTTCCAGATTTGTAAACAATATGTAGCTGTTTAACTGTCACTAATTTCTTCTCTGGATTTGGGACCAAAGTTTTTGAAACATTTTGCTAATTACACTTATATGTTTACAAACATGTGGAAAAGCTTCAAACTGTACCCCATCTAGATTGTTCTTCATAAAAACCCTATTCTCTTCCTGATTCCTCACACAAGGTCAAAAAGAGAATACTGAACATACTAAGT